CGGGGGTGGCGGCCCTCAGCCGGCGGGGGTGGCGGCCCTCAGCCTTAAGCAAGGCCAGTTGTTCAGCCATCCTGCTGGACCGGCCACATCCTTGCTGAACTGGTTCAGCCCTAGCTCCCGTGGCATTAACCAAGAACTTAGAAGCACACAACGAATTTTTATGGACAATATAATTCAAGGAAGGAATCTAAAATAGACAGTTCATAACTGAGAACCTAAAGTTAAGAAATAATATTTTGAAGATAAATTTCATTATTGAATTATTTAATAACAAGCATGATAAATGCAATAAATAAAACACAAGTGCAACAACTAAAACATACCTGAAGGAGTCCAATCTGTGCAGTAATTCTATCAATGGCTTCTCGGCACCACAATCGAAGATCAGTCACAACTTGATCATTTCTACTTCTAGCAGTATGAAGCTTTTTTGCAGGTTCACCTATTAAATCAGTTAATGCTGCTTCTATATTCATGTGCACATCCTCCCTGTCCATTCTCCAAACAAACTTTCCCACATCAATTCTTGTCTCAATTTCATCTAGACCAGACAATATATGGTCTCTATCGCTGGCAGTGATCAATCCCTAATCATGAAATTTACAGATTATGCTGCTACCCTTATAACTGCAAGGAGAAAAAAAAAAAGAAGAAGGAACTATACTGAAAGATGCACAATTTCTAACTCAAGAGGCCTTTGTAAGGCTTCACTCTACAACATAAACTTCATCCCATCAAAAATCCAAATAGAATTGAAGGGATTTAGCTGATAGGGCGTTCAATGAGAAAGTTCAATGCTTTTAGCTATTTTGATACAACAAGTGCACAATAAAAGACAATTCGATGAGAAAGTACAACGAGAAAGTTCAATGCTTTTAGATAGAAAAGGGAAATTTACATAGGTCGCACCTGATTCTTATGTATTTACATATCTCACACTTATACTTTCGTATTTACATACATAGCACATGGTGCTTTAAATCTATGCATGAAAAGGTGTATTTCACTTTTAAAAAGTGTTAATAGTGCTATTTTTTAATGTAAATACATAAGAATTGTGTGCTATGTACGTAAATGCGCCAAGATGGAAACAAAAGAATTACAGAACAAAATGGGTTAATTCAATTCATTGATCCCTACTCCTTCCTAGTTGGGAGTAATGATAGACTCACAATAAACCATTAATTCTTCATTGATCACTAAACTCATTATAATTATTATCAATATCATTAACTAAGCCTAGCATTAACGACTAACTCATAAGGACCCATCACACAACAAAGCTACAACCTCAACGGAATAAACGTCCATTATTCCTAATAGTTTCTTTACGGGCAATAGAAAAATCAATGCCAATGCATCGCATCCTACTTACAGAAGCGGCATTTTAAGGGAAAAACAAATACACAGCGGCAATATCATCACATACTCTGCCTAAGACAACTGAAAAAAACTGATAAATCTCCAAATGACCAAAATACAAGCTTATTTTAACAAGAAAAAAGCCACATTGGTTACAAAACCCTAAAAGGGCTGCAAAAACACTAAGAATTTGCAAACAAGCAACCTTCGAAGCAAAATTTGATCAGTTATAACATTAAAAAAACTTGAACGAAAGCCAGAATCACCGGGTAAATAAGCAAGAACAAAATTCCATCATGATATTTACAAGAATCATCTCGACTGAGAGAATGGAAGAGATGCGACAGTGAAATCGGATTTGCGGCACCTGATGAGCAAGCATGGTGGCATGCGCTTTGCTACCCATGATGTCGTGTTTGTAGAGCTGCTTGTCGAAAGAGATGGACTCGGTAAAGCGCTCGACCGCATCGGTCACGCTCTCCTCAAATCGCCCACCCCACAGCTTCTCCTCCTTGCTCTTCATGCTTCCATCTGGCTCGCCGAGGCAGGAGGTGGATGCGGTTGAAGATACCATCGCCGGTGGCTGAGAACGGCACCGGAAGTTGGTGGCAGAAGGCGAGAGGCGAACGGCGACGAAGAGACGGCTGAGGGGTAAGGAGGAGAGGATGGAATCGTGATGGTGGGGAAGCAACTTCATCTGTTTCCGGCCTCAGGGAGAGGAATGTCACGGCGGCTACACTTCAGCTCAGTTGAACTCAAGGGTCTGCTCGGCACAACGAGAATTAAACTAAAAAATTCAGTAAATTCAGATTTAATATATCCTGGGAGGATAAAACCCAACAAAATTAAGGGAAAATATTTACGTATTTTGTATGCACGCAGGATTGCGTGCGTGTTAAGATTATTAGAAAGGTATTGGAGGGTTATGTCACTGTTATTATGATTAATATGCCTAAAAACCTCACAAAAACCTCGAATGACAATAAAAAAAATGAGTGCCGAATTGTGAAATATATTGATAGGTTAGTGGGAGGTTATTGATGTAACTCTAAAATCAAATAAAATTTTCTTGATCAAGTTTAGGTTAAACAAGTCCACTATGACTAATGAGTTGAGCTTCCTCAATTAAATGTAAATTAAACTAAAATTAAATTGGATTAAACGGTTTTATTTGAATTAAAATATTTGTAAATATATAACTCAACATGCTATGTCCTTACATTCAATTCAAGTCACTTGGATTAGTATCAAAGTTAACCAACAACACTAAGAAAAGCATATATTATTACTCAAAAATTAATAAGTAGTTACAACTGATACACTGAAAGGGAAATAACAACACAAATGCAACTAGGAATGTATCTCAAATTGGTGGTGATTGGTTGTGTGGGATGGACGGTAGTTAGATGGTTGTGGTTAGCTAGTGGTAGTGTGGAAAGTGTCGGCAAGGAGGTTGGAAAGTGAGTTGTAGAGGGGTTGCAAGTATGGTGGAAGTTGACTAATTGCACTAGGAATGTGGAAGGTTGGTTAAAACAACAGTCAAATAAAAAGTGGACTTCCTGGTAGGTAGACAACAACAATCTGACAATGAGAGATGTGGTGGATGTGAGCTGGAATGAAGGAAGCGAGCTGGAGGAATTAGCATTTAGGGGGGGGAAATTAACATGCATCAAGGAAAGGTTGGTGGGTGGTAGGCAGCCGCAGAAAAGAGCAAAGGGAATGTTTTTCAATAGCTGCACCAAATACGATAGAGGTGGTATCAGAGGAAAGATTGCGGAGGAGTTGGGGAAGGATAAGTACCACATCGGGAGCGAGATACAGTCGAAGCACTACTCGTCCCTAGGAAGATAATCATCACCTTACAACAAAATACAGTCAGAGCACTACTCGCCCTTGGATACAACCCTAAAAGGGAAAATAAGGGATGTTGGCAGTTATCCTAAAAAAAATGCAATAAAAATGGACCTAAATCACCAAAACATCCTTATATACCTAGAGTAAAGTAGAATGTCTCCCAAATAGGAGGGAAGCACATGCCTAGAAGGACCAGTCAGCCCCTCCTTTTCCTTGACTAAACCAACCGGGGCAAAGGAAGTCACGATAGCTGCCGCATAAAACTTTGGACACCTGTATCAGTCTACTAGAGTTGAGGGAGCTTCGAGCTCATTCGTCGAAGCTCCATCTACACATTAATGGTGATGGAGATGTTGTAATCTCCTGGGCTGAAGGATCTTCAGCTGTGGCAGGAGCACCAAGATCCTATGGTCGATTGTATTGTCTCCCAAAACACCTGAGCTGAAACTGGGTGTTTGTATATTCTGTTGAATCCTTCTAAAATAACCCTAGGTTGGCTCAACCTGATCTAAAAGTGAGGGAAACTGAATCTTCCCGAACTGTTGCAGCCATGATAATAAGTTATTTAACAGAACATCTCAAAAAAATTTTTTGTAATAGCTGGCCTGTGTTTGCAGTTGGCTCTCCTATCTTTCTCTCCTCTGTCATCATCAAGACTGGTCCTATGAGTACTTTTCTACTAACAAGGTGACCGACTTTTTGTAAATCGACAAATACAAGAATTTGATGGTGCTACTAGAATATTTAATTTCCAGCAACAACATCTAAAGACTTGATAGCGATTTTATAGATGTGTCTAATTTGATTAAGATGTATAAATATAATATTCAATAATGTTAAAGTCGAATTTGTCAACACAAGTATATGTATCGCTTGTATCGCTCAAGTATATCGCTCAAGTAATATAGGGCTCTAATGGAGTCCTAGATATTGATCCCATACGGAGTAGTTAAATATACGGACTAAGATTTTATAAAAAACAATACTTCAATTACAACAACGAAGTTCAATTTGCTTATCTGTCACTAATAGATAATTGAAATAATTATGTAATTTTACCTATAAAATAACTAAATATGCTAATGAAGGTACGATTGTGATATATAGGAAAGCATCCTTCTCCTTGTCAAGAAATTATAGTGAAATGGACAAAATGAATTAGTT